TAACTGGGTTCTTTCGGTAACAAAGAAGAAGCTGAGAATTGCTGGGTTCTTTGCATCGTTACCTTGTCTAACATATCTTTGTGATAAAAGACTTAAGTCATCAATACACTGCGTTCAATTATAGAGAAAAATAGCAGATACTGCGGGTGTTGAGTAAATGAAATGATCGCTCTATTGATGGCATGTTTGTTTTTTGCAATCCTTGTGCGTGCGCTGAATTGCATCAGCAAAAGCGTGCGTGAAAACTGTGTTCAGCCACCTTAATAATCCGAACTGACATAAGTTCAAAATCAGTCCTACTCCAGCATCAAAACAAAAATTTCACGACAGATTTCACTAATTTCTTACATGGAGCGAAGTAACTTCTGTATGGAGCGAATTAACTTTTGTATGGAGGGAGGTGAGTTTTGGTTGGGGTGAAGTGACTGGGTGCGAAATGACCATGGGGCGAAGTGACCGTAATTCGTTGAGATTTTCATCTTTCATCATAGACATGTCTATTCCTGGTTTTCACATGACTTCATCACTGCCATGCATGGTGGATGACATTAAGCCATTTCTAATCAGCTTCTTTCGTTTTCATACAACATGGTCACCACGCCTTTATTATTTGAGTCTCTCGAGACATAAATTCTCGTCAGCTGTGTCACTGCCTTGCTAGCAATTTGTTACTGTGCCTTTCAATAACATGCGGACTCTGAAATTCAAAGCTCAACCGACAAATGCATTTTGCTTCCGTCAATCAAATGTTCTGCAGCTCCTCCCAGTTTCTGACTATGTTGTCTGAACTGCGCTCGACGATTTGATTTGATTATCGCGCACTTGGCAGTAGTCGGAAGCTGGGAGGAGCCACCGAACATTTGATTGACGGTAGCGAAAATGCATTTGTCGGTTGAGCTTTGAATTTGAGTCCGCATGTTATTGAAAGGTGCAGTAAGGAGAAGATACATAGTGATAACTTGACGTTTGAACATTTGCTGGGCTTAATGCTGGTTATCAATTTGCTAAATTGACTAATTACAGACGAAATGTGACCAGGTCGGTCCTTAAAGTCTGTACACAGACCATTTGGTCTTTCGTGTCAGGACTAACTCCAGTCTGCTTAGCAGGAGTCGATTGATGCTCTGTCTTCCCCCCCTGAATAGGATAGTTGTCCATCACAGATCAGCTCCCCCCCCTTTGAATTTTTGCCTTTTAAGTTTCTCAGTGACAGCCTTAATTACTCCTGGGTGGAGAGATTGAGTTAGATGCTAGTACCGCTTGCTGCCATACCTGGGCAACTCGCTCCAGGGCCACTGCGTCCTGTCCTCCATCGGTCTATGACGCCGTAGTTTATTTGTGTCCTCTTTTCATTCCTTAGGTGGAAATGTGTTTGCTGGGGTACACCCTCGGGCTTGTCATCCAAGTCATACGCCCTTCTCAAGTGGACAAAGAAGATTTCATAGCGTACTATCCTTTGTTAGCTGACATGCCTAAATACACTCCGACAGTCACATTAGTGGCAGAAGATGACAGGCATTATAACATTGTCATGTAGCTGGGTAATTTAGTGAACAAGACCTCCGACCTTTTCAGATGCAATGTTTGTCGTAAAGTTTTGTATTTTCCGCTTCAAATTACAATTTTGTCACTTGTACACGCACACGTACATGTAAACCATTTCACTTTTGCTCAATCTTTAACATGTTTGTTTCCGTTTTTTTTACTGTTACATTAACCATAGAGCAGTTTTCAATGGAGTGTCGAAAGTAATCAGGAAATATAACTTTGGTTTTGATTTGCTTTTACTTAAGTTTGAGATTGGCTGAGTAGTCTAATTGGTAAGCAATTGGTTTGGTTTTGGTTTCATGATGTGGGGAACGTTTTCACCCAGTACACCAAATATAAAATCACTAGTCCATGTTACTTCCTGATTTAATGCTCTGTATTGTCATATCCAAAAAATGTATAGACAAACACAACAAAAACGTCTCTGCAACGTCTACCACGAGGCCCTTATTTGCATATCACATGACCTCTACGAGGCTAGACTAATTTGCATATTTCACGATTCTGGACACCCTCCCCCCATTGAAGTGTTTTAACTTAACAGCTTAAATGTCAATTTAATTATCCTTAAATTCCTGCTCAACAATGTTTCTGATCTGACCGTTGGCAATCTGTTTGGCTCGTCGCTTTGGTCTTACCCTTGACGAAAACCTCAGCATCTGGGTTTGGTTTCCACTCAGAATCGCTCCCTCTGTTCCATCCTTGCTGGTAATCTTGCTCACCACTCACCCCAGCTTCCACATTGCTTTATCCTTGCTTCACCCTTGAACAACACCACTGCCCCTGTGTTTGGTATCTTCTCAGTGTTCCCTTCAAACTGCTGTTGCCTTTCTTCTAGGGCGTGAACATTCTCCTTCATGAATCTCTTTCGGAGGTACTGTTTGCTTTTCTCCAGAAATCTCATATGCTTAGTGGCATTGTCTTCTCCAATCTTCTCCAGGTCTTCCTCTAAGATAGGGATTGCCTCCCCTCTCAGTAGGGTATTTGGGGTAAGCACTGGTTTCTCAAACTCTTCACCTTGATAAAGGAGTGGCCTGTTGTTCATGGTCATCTCAACATCCAGCAAGACGTCCTCTAGCTCTTGGAAGGTTAGCAGGCTTTGGCCGATCACCTTCAATAGAGTTCTCTCATGCTGATAAGGCGTTCAAAGAGGCCTCCCCATCATGGTACGCGGGTCAGGTTAAATCTCCAAAACTCCCATATAGTTTGCCAGATGCTGGTCCTTCTTCAGCTTTGATAGCCGTTTTCCAGTAGCAACAAATGTCTTTCCATTGTCACTCACAATGTTCTGAGGGCAGACTCCCCTGGCAACAAATTCCTGTAGTGCTCTCTGGAATTCCTGGGCAGACAGGTAACGACATAACTTGAGATGTACTGCATGAGTACTGGTACAGGTGAATAGTGAAATGTATGCCTTTGAAGTAGTAGATATTCTTAATCTTGTAGTAGACAGGCCCAGCAAAACCCACTCCTGTAACAGCAAAAGGGTTTGACAGTTCAGTTCTGAGAACTGGCAGAATAGAATCTGAGCTATGCAATTGCGGATCACTTTCTTTGTAAGCAACCTCAGTTTTGGTATCCAATACTTCTCTCTCATAGGGCACATGGTTGTCGAAACTCCACCATGTAGCATCTGCTCATGGACTTGTTGAATGATTGAGGTGGCCAGCTTGCTATTTCTTGGTAGAAAGAGAGGATGATGATGGGGAACTCTGCCAACACATCTCAATACTCCTTCCTCCTCATCCTTTCTTGACCCCACGTCTGACTTTGATGCTTGTGTGACTTGTGCCTGAATGATCCAGAACTTCTCTGCTGCCTGGAGTTCTTCAGTCATTAGCGGCCCTTTCTGCTTCTTCAACTTTCTGCAATTGTTCATGAATCGCTTGACGAAAACAGTGACTCTTAGAAGCTTCCAGTATGACGCGTACTTGCCCAGAAGAGTGTCTCTGGTCTCATTCGCTTCTTCTGTCTCTTTCACTAGGAGCTGTTTCTCATGCTTGGGTTTCACCCTTTCCTTTTCATTCTCTGGGCTTTCAGACACTTCAGGTTGATTTGGCCATCTGTCTTGAGCACTTAGCCACTCTGGTCCCTGAAACCACAACTCCCCCATTATGTTCGGTGCCACACCCTGGCTTCCTTGATTGCTAGGGTTTTCACTGGTTGTCACTGGTTGGAACATGATGCCACTGTATCTCTCTATCCTTGTCCTGGATAGCCTTGGTTCTATTACGCACAAATTGAGCCAGGTTCCTTGTCCCTTAATCCAATAAAGCTCTGTCATACTGTTGACCCCACAGTGATATACATCGATGTGCTGATCTTTCAAGACTTCCTTCACATGAGGCATCAATCTGCTCAGGGTATATGCTGCAACACGTTCCAAACGGGGAATTTACTGATATCTTGGTGCTATCCTTGACTTTGCCACAAGCAGATTCTGGCAAACTGGTGCAGTGGCGTGAATTGCTAGGGCGTATACAGCTACTGAAACAGCCAACTTGCTGGCATCTGTAAATCCATGCAGGTGACCCCAAGTTGTACGGCACACAAAAGCACTCCGATGTATAGACAATTCCTGAGTTTAATAACGAAAATGAAACAAAAATTACAAAATAACTGGTCTCACGATCCTCGTGTTGTTTGTGTTGTCTCCTCGGAAAACCTCCCTATTTCACAGTACTTCTCCGTCTCCTAATTTCAATTTCACTTGTCAATCATCTGAATACTAAATGTGACATCCGGTTGTAATGCTAGGCAGTCATGATAGTTGCGGTCACGCTCCCATGAAAATTGAGTGTCACTAACTTTTCACTTAATCACAATCAGTGTCACTTAAAGGTGAAACTAATCAAAGCCCAATCATCTGCGGCAATCAATCTGATTTTAACTCCTGTGTCTACTGCTGCCCTTCTTCTCTCAATAGTTCTGCCTTGTACTCTGGTCTCTGCTAACTCCTCCGTGTTCCCTTCATGTCGGCTCTGTATTTCGAGGGGACATACCAGCTGGAGTGGCCCGCTGGATTTGGTTTCCCTTGTGCAGCAAACCAACTCCTCTTACAACTCCGTCTCTGCCTCTGATGTGTCTCAGAACATGACCTTTCTTCCATTCTCCTGTTCTTCTCATCACCGATGACAAGTACGATCTCTCCAATTTCTGGGTAAATTACTCTTGCCTCTCTTGATTCGGTGACTTTCCATGAGACCGTGAACATACTCCTTTTTCCACCTCTGCCACAAATGTTGCCTTTTCTCATTCA